ATCCCTCTGGGTCTTCCCAGTGCACCAGGCCCGAGCACTTGTCTCATGCATCCAACCTGGGCTGGTGATCTGTTTCACCCTAGATAATATACATGTTTCGATGCTGTTCTCTTGAAACATCCCACCCTCGCCTTCTCCCACAGAGTCCACAAGTCTGTTCTATACATCTGAGTCTCTTTTTCTGTTTTGCATATAGGGTTATCATTACCATCTTTCTAAATTCCATATAATAGACCCAGAGTTTCTGACTGTCTGAGATAAGGTACTTTCCCTTCATGGGACTGCCCACCACTCTCTCAACCAAATACCACAAAAAAAAAAAAAAAAAAAAATTCCATATATATGTGTTAGTATACTGTAATGGTCTTTATCTTTCTGGCTTACTTCGCTCTGTATAACTTTAAACCAAAACGTATGGAAGTTTGAAGTTGTCTCAAACATACTTTTATGGCCACCATCATTTACGATCTCAAGCAGGTGATCCTTTTCTAGCATAGACAAAGTCTGTTCACCTGGCTTGTTCACAAATGGGTCGCGGATCCATTCCTTTCCAGTTTGGGGGTCTTTTGTGGTAGGAGTAATGCTCAAACTCTTTTGAAAACTGAGACAGGTGATCATGCATCCAGCTGGGAAAAAGAAGCCCCTGGCTCAGTCTCTTTCAAAATCTCTGCTGATGTTTGAAATGTCAAAAACCCCAGTGTTCACTCGTCGCCCCCATAATTTCAGTCTGGCTTTGAATGCAGCCACTGTATCTGCTGACTTGAACACAGTTGTTCTCCCCTGAAGTGACTGAGTTTGCTGAGCAGGTTGAATATGTCACACAAGCAAGTTTTGCAACCCCTTCTGTTTCTCTGAAATGTGCTACTAGTGGTGACTGTTTTTCTAAAAGAAATTTCTGGAGTGACTCTCGTAACTCAAAAACTCTAGCCAGTGACCTACCTTTAGAAAGCCACCTCACTTCTGTGTATGAGAGAAGACGTGTGTGCTGTGTCCATCTCCTCACAGAGTTGTGCAAATAGACTTGACTTAAAGGTGTGTCCTTTAATGTGATTATTTTAATCACATCCTGCAAAACATTAAGTTCAGGTGATACTTTTCAGCTAGCCAGCATTTCTCTATGGATGACACAATACACAGACTTACATTCAGAAATGACCTCTTTGACCCATATAGTGGGACCAGAATGCTGTCCAGTCGTGGTAGCCGCTCTGTCTGTGCATATCTCAACGCAAAATGACCCGTTTTCCTGATATGTAGTTAGTCAGAGACTTGAATAGTTTTGCAACTGTGGTGTTGATTGGCAACAGAAGTGCACATAACATATCCTCATGCACATCCTCCTAAAAAACAGAGCACTCAAAAACAAGCATTGTTGCTTGTCAACATAGGTAGACTTGTCGACCTGGATTGCGTACCACAGTGACTCATTAATCCTCTCTAACAATTGTGCCTCAATATCCTCTGCTGTTTCCTCAGTTTGTCTAGTTATGGTGCTAGCCAAAAGAGGAACCTGTGCCACCTTTTAAACTGCAGCCTCTCCTAAGAGTTCATGACAAGTGTCCTTAGCAGGATCAACTCCTCACCAAGAGTAAAGGGCTTCTTAGCTTTAGCCATGCAGTCATCCACTAAGAATGATGCTCTCAGTGTAGACACATTTAATGAAGTGTGGCCTTCAAGAATTGCTTCTATTCTTCATGTTCACATTTTTTTTCTTTTGAAACTCCAGAGGCTGTCTTTTAATCCGGGGTGCTTGGTCTCCATGTGGCAAAGTAGTTTTGAAGGTTTCATGGCTTCTCTAGATAGCTAATCATCATATATTATACAAAGCAGCCTTGGAGAATGTGAATTGCATGTTTCAATGAACCCATAATTTAAGCAGGACTCTTGGTATTTTAAAAGCAGGTTTCTTTTGTTGGCAGTCTTAGAGTATTCTGCTGTTTCATCATTGGGTCTTTCCCTCTTTTCAAAGAAGTTCTCCAGTAATGTTGGTTTTTTACTCATTTTCACTAAGGTTAGCTTGTGGGCTTACCAAAACTGACTGAGACAAGTGTGCAGGGTGGAAAAGAGGCAAAGAATCAGAGGTGGTAAATAAAATAATGGGCAGGCCACACGTGAACTAAAAATAAGCATTGGATTCTGACTTAAAGCCGGCTACCAGATGTACATGTACAACTGAAGTATATCAACTCACTTACCACTATAAAGCTTGCCACCAGATGCAGCCTAATTGTCACTTGCCATCACTGATAGGGTTTTGATATAAGCCTGCAAGCATGTGATTTATTATGATCTCTGTATATTTCTGCTTGTGATAATCTGTATTTGAAGCTGCTCCCCAAAGCTAGCATCACCACCTCAGTTCCACCTTAGATCGTTAGGCATTAGATTCTCGTAAGGAGCACATAGCCTAAATCACTTACATGCACAGTTCATGGTAGGGTTCTCGCTTCTATGAAAATCTAATGCCACCAGTGATCTGACAGGAGGCAGAGCTCAGGTGGTAATGTGAGGAATGCAGAGTTACTGTAAATACAGATGAAGCTTCACTTGCTCATCCACCCTTCGCTTACCTCTTGCTTTGTGGCCTGGTTCCAAACAGGCCACAGACCAGTATGAGTCCATGGTCCAGAGGTTGGAGACCCCTGAGATGGACCACTCTGAACACCCTGTGAAGAGTGGATTCTAGAGAGCCAATAGCTGTTGTCATAGTCCCCGCTAGTGAAGATAAGAATTTGAAGAGTCAGTATTACTTAGGGGTTAGGAATTTGGGCCCTGGGGTTAGACCACCTGGATTTTGAATCCTATCGGGTTTACTCATGAGATGTTTGACTTGGGCAAATTAATTTCTGGGTGCTTCAGTTTCTTCAAGTATAGCAATCTTAGGATTACTGATAGAATTAAATTATTAACATAAATAAAGTGTATAAAATAGTGCCCAGTAGATGATAGACACACAATGAATACCTCTGTTTCATTGACTTCGGATAGTGGTGCCACAATTAGAAACAGGGATTAGTAACTTTAAGAAAAAGAAAATTTATCAGCTTCTGTATTTCTCCAGAAGACTTAGAATGTGATTTTTCTTATTTTTCAAGTTTAATAAATTAGGTTTCAGCCAGTTTTGCCTAACCATGATGATGGGAGATGGTCATGAAAGACTGAACCACTGGTAGTGCCTAAGCTCCCTTTAGGGAGTGTGCCAAACCCTTCTCCCATCAGACCTTCTCAAGGAAACATTCACAGTGCAGTGAAATGTCATTTTGATTCTCCTTTGTTAAAGGAAGAATTAATACCCTCATTAGCGGTGTTTGTTAACCATGCAATAATGAAAACATGGCCGCAAAAATGGAAAATGGGTTTCTAGATGATATGTGTTGCTTAATACATTCTAGAAAGTTGACTTCTGTCATTTGGAGAAATTTTTGAAATTTGTGTTTTATCTTGACTGTTTCAAGACTAGCAGAAGTTATGTGAACCAGACAGCTGCCACAGGTGCTCAGTCACTAATATATATGCCAGTGGTCATTCCCACCCCATTCTTTTTAATGTAACATAACAGGAAGTGTATTAAATATGCAAAAGTTTGTCTCCAGTTGTCTGTCTTTTGAAAGTCTGTTTTATCTATATTATATAGGCACTTATCCTAGAATAAGGCATATTTACTTTTTGAGATCTAGAAATATAATTAACAGTTAACACCACAAGCTATTTGAAAAGAAGCAACCATCAACTGGGAGGGGTTCTGGGTTTTAATTCTGTTCTTTGTTGTTATTCGGTCACCCAGTCATGTCCAACTCTTTGTGACCCCATGGACTGCAGGATACCAGGCTTCCCTGTCCTTCATCATCTCCTGGAGTTTGCTCAGACTCACATCCATTGAGTTGGTGATGCCATCCAACCATAATCCTCTGTTCTTTAGCTGATTAATTTTACAACCTTGGACTCTGTTATTCTAACTTCTCTTACCTATGAAATAATACATGGAAAAATGTTTGGATTATCACAGAGGTTATTGTTTGCTGAAAAATAACTATGTGATCAGATAAAGAAGCTGCTGTTTTCTGCTCAATGAAAAACCAAATAAGACTTTTCCTTTCACATGCTGCTTCCTTTCTGCCTTATACCCACACACATGAGCTATGATTTGATGAAAAGGTAATAGGATTTTTACTCTCAAGCATTTAGTAAATATTCAGCTTATCATTTTGGTTTTGAGCTAATGCTTATTAAGGAGGTACATTCTTTGTAAGTTTCATATTTAACTGATCATACGCTTTAGGATTTCCTTTTTAAACCTAAATATGCTACTTGAATACATCCTTCCGAGTAATGATGCAATCTGTGTTTCATTTATATTGGAGTTTTTAAAATGACTTTTTTAAAGCTACTACCCTGAGTAAGTAGTACCTCTTTGGTAATACAGAATTTAGTAATTGATTTGAAAGTCTTAACCTCAATATTTAAAATAGTATGGAAATATATAGGGTATATAAAAAGCTTGGTAGATTAGTATGCTACTACAAGTTCCCAGATGGTTTACTACTAGGAGTTAAGCTAAAATGAGAGGTAAATAGCTAATTTATTTTACTTGTATTTTAATTAGCTTAATTTGTATTCCAATTACAAAATAAGAGACAATAGTTATTAAGTATCCTTTCTGTTGCTTATTTCTTCATCTGTTCAAATATTTGAGTGTCATGCATGTCTGCTCAGTTGTGTCCTACTCTTCTTTGACCTCGTGAACTAACTGTAGCTGGTCAGGCTCCTCTGTCCATGGGATTTTCCATGAGCGCTGGAGTGGGTTGCTCTTACCTGCTCCAGGATGTCTTCCCAACCCAGGGATCAAACCCACAGCTCCTGTGGCTCCTGCATTGGCAGGTGGATCAGCATGTGTAAAATCTATTTTGCCTTTTTTTTTTTTTTCTATTTTGCCCTTATTTATGAAATTAATGTATTTATTTTTAAAAAGAAGTGACCATCTTTCCATTATAAATGTTGTCACCTTCATGAGCAAACCCAAATATTTCTGCATTCTTTCTGTTGTTTTTTTCTGTTAGATTTTTTTCCAATTCTCTGGATTCTGCTGACTGTATATCAAAGAAAGCAAGCAGCCAGCCTCTAGCTGAAACTGCTGTCACAGATAAAGAAACCAATGGAGGTGAACCAGATTGTCTAGAGGACCAGAAGTTGGATGATACCAGTGTATCGCATAATTCCGGTGAACAGATTCCAGATGATGTGACTGTGATGGCTGAAGAGTCTCAGTCTTTTAAGACCAGCACATTCACGAGGACCATCTCACCACCCACCCTGGGGACACTAAGAAGTTGTTTCAGTTGGTCTGGAAGTCTTGGAGATTTTTCAAGAACTCCGAGCCCCTCTCCAAGCACAGCATTGCAGCAGTTCCGTAGAAAGAGTGATCCTTCCACCTCTCTGCCTGAGAATACTGAGATGTCTGATGTAGCTCCGTTAAAGAGTGATGAGTCAACTGATGAATCACATCCCTTACATGATGTGGGTTGGTCTTCACAGTCTCAGGAAAGCATGGACTTGTCACCACACAATTTAAATGCATCAAAACTTTCTCAGCCTTCTAGTAAGGATTCAGATTCAGAGGTAAGTCACATTCTGAAGCCTTTGTTTTCAAATTCATATATAAGAGAAATAGGGTGTTCATCAGATAATTGAGGAAATTTTGCCTATGTTACGGAAATAACATAGACCTTACTGTGTAGAAAGTTCATGTTTTACTCATCTGAAGGGCTTCTCTGTATCTTTTCATATTTTAGACTCTTATACTTTTAATCTAGCTATATATTTTGAATCATCACTATGTGTTTCACACAGTGGAACACAAGTTGTGGAACACTTAAGACCTAAATGTCTGAAGTTGTGAAATATTTAAGACCTAAGAATGATAAGCTTATTGAAGTTATTATAAATTTAATATTTAAATCCTTAATATAGTCTTGAATTCAGACAGTGTTTGAAACCTTATAACTAAATGATCCTATTAACGTGATGGTGTTTGTCTTAAGTTTTAATACTTAAGAAATATATATATTTTCTACTCTTATTATTCTTGTTGAAAGTCCCCTTTATGACAAAACAAGATAGTAATGTACAGGGTTTTATGTTATTCTGTTTAAATTAATAAAAGCATCTTAGTCATTTTTTCTTATTCATAAAATAGCTTTATTCTTAAGTAAATAAAATCAAAGCTCCAAATAACTACTACTCGTAAGACCCAGTGATGTCATATTTTAAAATGACATGATGGCATAAGAGCATTCTTTAAATCTGAGTTATCTCAAATTTACTAATTTAACAGATTTCATTTTATGTTCACAGCTATGGTTACCAAGTTGTAAGAACAGTTATAACCTTGGTAATATTTGACAGAATTTCGAGGCCTGATAATCCTGAATATTAAACGTCTAATAAATCAGTGTCCTTGTGTACCTGTGGTCTGTTGCTCACTTGTGTCCAACTCTTCTGCGACCCTCTGAACTGTAGCCCACCAGGCTCCTCTGTCCAGGGAATTTTCCAGGCAAGAATACTGGAGCGGATTATGATTTCCTTCTCCAGGGGATCTTCCTGACCCAGAGATAAAACCCACATCTCTTGTGTCTCCTGCATTGGCAGGTGGATTCTTTATCACTGCACCCAATAACTCAGTATATCTTGTGTTTATCAAAAGGAAAATATTTTATTCAAGTTCCTAAAGGAAACTTGAGTTGTGTTGGACTCAAAGAAAAAAGCCTAGTTAAAATGTGGAAGCAAATTGTTTTCATTTAGAGAAAGCTGGAATCAGTTAATGTATTCAAATCCAAAATCCATTCCATGTAGTGTTTTTTAAATAAAAGAGGCTTCCCTGGTGGTTCAACTGTAAGGAATCTGCCTGCAATGTGGGAGACGCAGGTTCGATCCCTGGGTCAGGAAGATCCCCTGGAAAAGGAACCGGCAACATACTTCAGTACTTTCACCTGGTAAATTCCATGGACAGAGGAGCCTGATGGGGTACAGTCCATGCGGTCGCAAAAGAGTCGGATATGACTTGGCAACTAAACAACAACAAAATGCCAAACCAAACCCTCGAGGCTTTTGCTTCTCTTTTCCTGTTCACCCACTGTGTGTTCAGTTCTTCCATACTGGTCTCGAAGACTGTTTCTTTTTATATGAGCCTCCATTTTAATGTCATCTTTTTCATTTTCCATGTCTTACTGCATTTTTCTCTTGGCACTATTTGGGTTCCATCGCAGTTGCTATTTCTTGAACATCTTTCATTAAAAATCACCATCTATTTGTGAGGATACTTTCAAGTACTCTGAACTCCTTTGAGGTATTTTTGTTCCTTTTCCAGCAGACATCTTCCTATTTTACTAACTTTGTAAAGTTTTTAGCATGTTTTACTGAGAAGGCTTACCAGCTCACAGCCTATGGGCTCGTCATGCTGACAAAACTCTCCGCATGTCTGTCTGCTGGTCAATCATTTTTATGCTTACAGTTACAGAAACATAAATTCTCTCCCCTCACCAAAAAAAAATCACACAAACTAAACTAAGAATCATTCATTAAATCATCTCTTGCCACTTGATATGGCAAATTTCTCTTAGGATAAAAGGATTATATGATTCTGAAGAAAATGCATTGGAGATTTCCATTGGTAGTTCACTGTGAAAAGCAACAGCCATATACTCTTATGTTCATTGAGTTCATTAACCCAGTTTGAGATTAATTAATCTTAGGATCTTACTCTTGATCTTTCTTTTAAGAGACAGTATAACCCAGAGTCATCACTACTATGAGCAAGGAATGTTAGTGCTTCTGTAAGTTATAATCCAAATTTTAAAGGAATATTTTTGACTTTTGGATTGCTTTGTAAGTATATAATGCTATGTAGAATCCCAAGATAAATATCTGTTGTTTTAAATCCTCTTGAAAAATGCAGAAATGTAAAGTCTCCTGAATTTATTTATTTACTTTCCAAAGTCCTTGAAAGGGTACAACGTCACATGGATTCTGTATCCACTAGCTTAAGCAAGAAGGTTGCTTAGAAATTTGGCATGAAGCATGCCATTTTTCCCATGAACATGAGATGCCCTTCCCCAGATTACTCTGGTTTTATTCTTTGCTTTGTACACACAGAAGCATATCTCTTGCCTGGATAGAAGTCAGTTTCATCTCAGGTATATGGCCGCTCAGTCGTGTCCAACTCTTTGTGACCCTATGGACATAGCCCACCAGGCTCCTATGTCCGTGGAATTCTCCAGGCAAGAATACTAGAGTAAATTGCCATTCCCTTCTCCAGGGGGTCATCCCAACCCAGGAATCAAACCCAGGTCTCCTGCATTGCAGGCAGATTCTTTACTGTCTCAGCCACCAGGCATAAACATCTTCAATTTTAAGAAGAGCTGTGTACTCCTTCTGGTTCTGGAGACCCCACCTAGAGCTTTTTAATCTATATTTTATACAATTTACTTCTCCAGCTGAAATTTGTTACCAGTTTTCTATAGTGAAACTGGCAAAGATCATTCTTTCCACATTAATTTTCTTTTATTGTATTTCATGTTTCTAATACTTTTTTTCTTCTGAGAAGTTGCATTTTATTTACACCGATTTTTCTCAATTTACTTGTTCTATGTTTGTTGAATATTGGTCAGTTGTCATAAAATCTTGATAGTAAAAATCTAATTTTGCTTTATTTTTCGATCTTGGGGATCTAGGAATCTGATTGCAATTTTAAGCCACTTGATAAACAAGGTAATCAGAAATCCAAGCTACACTTGTTTCATTTTTCGAAGAAAGACACGCTTCTAAGAAACAAGGTAAAACACTTATTTAAATTACTTTTAGATTTCAGAAGCAGGGCATGCTTATTACCAGGAAATATGAACATAAGCAAAATTAAAACTCAAAGTGCCTGTATTCTTATTTACACAAAAATGTCTACCTTCAAATCTTTTCGGACCATATTTGTACTTGATTTGTATTGGGTTGGCCAAAAAGTTCCTCTAATTTTTAAGTTTTAAAAATAAAAGACAAGTTTTTCATTTTCACCAATAACTTTATTGAGCAACATATTCATTGTTTTGTTCCACTCCCCTCTGCCATTTTCCAGGCAACTTCGTAACTCCATCTTCCCAAAACTTTTTATCATTTTGAGTAAAGAATTGTTCCAGCTACATTATTTTAAAAATTTTATAGAGACCAAAATAAATGAAAATCCGAAGTTATAATATCTGAATGTGGCAGTTGAATCAGAAGACCAGTCAAGCTGTAAGTTTTTGCCTGGTCATCAGAGAAACCTTATGGTATCCTGATGGAATATTATACGTTTTCTGTTGACTCTTTTCATCCAGTGCTGCTTTCAGGTGGTCCTGCTGGAAGCAGTACTTGTTGGAATTAATTGTTTGGTTTTCCAGAAGGAGCTCATAATAGAGGACTCCTTTCCAATCCCACCATATACACATCACTTTCTTTGGATAAAGACTGTCCTTCAGTATGGTTGGTAGTTCATTTCACTTGCCCCATGATCTCTTCTGCTCCACATTGTTGAACAGTATCCACTTTTGATTGCCTGTCACAATTTGTTTTTTATAGTGAAATGTTTTAATTATGTTTAAGTAGAGAATCACATGCAGAAATACTGTCAAGAAGGTTTTTTTTTCACTTATGTGGAACCTAAACTTCAAAGCAATTAACATAAGCAAGCTGGTGCATATGATTTTCAGCATTTGATTTGGATATTTTGAGTATGTGAGCAAGCTATCTCCTGTGTGGTATAACTTTGATCTCAGTTTATGTCTCCCTTTGATCACTGTCAACTTGAATTGGTCTACCTGACCATGGATCTTCGTCTAGCGAGAAATTTTTACCTTTCTTGGAATGAAAAGTGAAAAATGAAAGTGAAATTTGCTCAGTTATGTCCAACTCTTTGCAACCCCATGAGCTATACAGTCCGTGGAATTCTCCAGATGAGAATACTGGAGTGGGTAGCCTTTCCCTTCTCCAGGGATCTTCCCAATCCAGAGATTGAAGCCAGGTCTCTTGCATTGCAGGTGGATTCTTTACCACCTGAGCCACAAGGGAAGCCCAAGAATACTGGAGTGGGTAGCCTATCCCTTCTCCAGCAGGTCTTCCTGACCCTGGAATCGAACCAGGGTCTCCTGCATTGCAGGTGGATTCTTTACCAACTGAGCTATCAGGGAATAATAAAGTATAATATTGCCAAAAATATTTTTTAAATCCCATCTTCAATATTAAAATGACTGCACAGAAATTCACTAATTTTTTTTTTTTAAAGCACACTAATATGAAAGCTGTCACAATGCAATCTAACAAAATTGTTTCAAATGAAGTTATAGACAAGGAAGTGCTATTAGAGCCATCTTATGGAAAAAACCTAATGAACATTTTGGCCAACGTAATAGGTGTTTAAGTTGTGAAACCTGTTTTTTTTTTTTTAAATAGTATATAAAGATCTATTTCATGTAGTTAAGTGACATTACTTATAATGACTAAAATATGCCATGGTATGGGTTTAACTAATCTTCTTATGTTTGTCCTTTACTCTGAAAATTTTTGTTATACCAAACAGTACTGCAATGAAGATTTTGTTGATAAACGTTTGAGTACTATACACATTCCTGATTTTTCATGGGGATGAATTCTGTGGAGTGGTATTACTGGTCCAAGGGCAGGTATGGTGTAAAGCTTTGATGTGTATTGCAAAAAGGCTTTCTAGAAACTGGGTCCCTGATAAATCAACGGCTTTTTTCAATCAGACTATATAAATATTTGTGTGACTACATAGTGAAAGCTCATAAGTCAGAAGCCCATTTTATGTATTAAGTATCTTGCCAATATCAAAACACTAATTCCTAACTTAAAAATGGGCAAGAGACATGAATAGAGATGACAAAAGCAAAAAGCCCAAGTGGATGATTAACATATAAAAGCACATTCAACCTCATTAGTAATCAAATAACATGAATTAAAGTAATAAAATATAATTTCTTACCTCTTATTTTTCCAAAAGTTTTTAATTTACTGAATTTTATAAGGGTATAAAGTGCTGAGATGAATAATCACATTTAAGATAGCATAATCCTATTAATTGGTATGATTAATTATCCCAATAATTAATTAATTAGGATAATAATTACTTAGGATAATCATATTTAGGAGAATAAGAATTGCTGTGCCATTTCTGGAAAACAATTTGAAAGAATTCAAATAATTTAACCCAGTAAGTACATTCTAGAACTTGAGCTTAAAGAGATAATGAGAATTTAAATACAAGACTACTTATTCTTGCATTGGTTGCAATAGTGAAAAATTGGGGAAAAAAATCTAAATATCTAAAAAATAATGGTGTGAAATACATTAAATACGTTGTTGGTTTTAATGGACATATATTATTTTTCTTATATAAGTAAACTACATTTATATAGGTAATACATTACTTTCTAATGTTTATTTGTAAAAGCATAGAAACTTTACAAACCTTTTTAATAAGTGATCTAGTGTATCTGTTTGAAAGAAGGTCATATCTCATCCTATATAAATATAAACCTGAAAGATATTAAGGATATAAATGTAAAATATGTAAATATAAAGTGAAAGTTACCCAGTCATGTCCGACTTTCTGGGGACCTGATGAACTGTATAGTCCAAGGACTTCTCCAGGCCAGAATACTGGAGTGCGTAACTGTTCTCTTCTCTAGGGGATCTTCCCAACCTAGGGATCTAATCCAGGTCTCCTGCATTGTAGACTGATTCTTTACTAGCTGAACCAACAGAAAATATAAGTTTCTTTTAAAAATCTCTGAGTGAGAAAGACTTTTTCAAACAGATCCTGTGTTGTAAAAATGTCCATATTATTTTTGAATGAAAAGGGAAACAATGCTATTAAATAATATGTGTAGCATGGTGTTTTTGTTTGCTTAAATGCTTGAAAATACGCATACTGTATATGTTTGTATGTGTGTGTATGTGTTAGTCACTTAGTCGTATCCGACTCTTTGTGACCCCATGGACTGTAGCCCACCAGGCTCCTCTGTCCATGGGATTTTCCAGGCAAGAATGCTATAGGGGGTTGCCATTCCCTTCTCCAGGGGATCTTCTCGACCCAGAGATTAAACTCGGATCTCCTGCACTGCAGGCAGATTCTTTACCATCTGAACCTCCAGGGAAGCCCATGTTTGTATAATCATGGTAAAAAGTCTGGAAAGATATTAAAATTATTTGCAGTGATAGGACTAAAGATGTAGAAAGTACTTTCTCAAAAGAAGTTACATCTGGACATTCAACCATCATCTTTTTATTATTATTATACTTTTAGATTTGCGTTGTCAATGTTTTAACTGTCACTTCTATTTTGGTGACAGCTCCCCAGATGAACCTTCCCTCTTGCTCCCTGATGTCCATCTTCAGTATATAAAATCAAACTCATCTTTCTTTTTTAATCTATAACCAGTACTTCTTAAAGCACTTATCAGCTGTAATATTTGCTCTGTGTCACTTAGTTTCAAAATCTTAGGGTTGTCCACTTTCTTTATAACTTCCAGCTGGATCCTTCTTTTTCAAGGGCTAAAGAAAAACAATCAAGACATTTATACCTGTCTAAATCCTGTTTCTTTCTCTGTCTTATTTCTTGCTCTCCTTTTTTCCTATCACCAACATCCTAATTTAATATTGCATCTTTCAGGTGTGAAACTTTCCATTCTTTATACACCCTGTACTGGGTTCATCAATTTTAAATCCTTGTTTTATATTACCACACTCATACTGTCCTAAAAAAAAAGCAACAGTAACAAAACTAATGGCTCCACATTTACAGCAGCATAAAAGTCAATGGATTCAAGGCACAGATAAAGACAAATATCATATGATATCATTTAATCATGGAATCTTTTTTAAAAAATGATACAAATGAACTGATTTACAATTCAGAAATAGAGTCACAGACATAGAAAACAAACTTAAGTTACCAAAGGGGATAGTGGGGAAAATAGGGTAGGGATATAAGCTAGGTGTTGGGAGTTAACATATACACACTGCTGCTGCTGCTGCTGCTAAGTCGCTTCAGTTGTATCCGACTCTGTGCGACCCCATCCCTGGGGGTCTCCAGGCAAGAACACTGGAGTGGATTACCATTTCCTTCTCCAATGCATGAAATTGAAAAGTGAAAGTGAAGTCGCTCAGTCGTGTCCGACACTCAGCGACCCCATGGACTGCAGCCCACCAGGCTCCTCCGTCCATGGGATTTTCCAGGCAAGAGTCCTGGAGTGGGGTGCCATTGCCTATATAATTATATAACAAGGACCTACTATATAGCAGTAGGTCCGTGGCAACCCACTCCAGTATTCTTGCCTGGGAAATCCCACAGACAGAAGAGCCTGATGGCCTACAGTCTACGGAGTTGCAGAGTTGGACACGACTGAGCGGTTTCACTTCACTCACTGTATAGCATGGGGAAATATACTCAGTATCTTGTGATAACCTATAAGGGAAAAGAATCTGAAAAGAATATATATATGTGTGTGTATATAACTGAGTCACCTTGCTGTATCCTTGAAATTAATACAATATTGTGAATTATGCCTCAATTAAAAATCAATAGATCAACTCAAATGTCAATAGAAATCTGTTTAAGTAAATTATGGTACATTTATACAATGGAAAAGATAAGCAACCTATTCAAAACAAAATTCAGTTCTACATGTGAAATGGAAAAATTTTCAAGATACATTATCTGGTAAAATCAAGATATATTAAGCAAGAAAAAAGTACACATTGTGATATGATGCAATTTTTAGTATGCTGCCAGTCGTGAGGTGTGTGTATGTAAATGAATTCAGTCATTGCACAGGAAATCGGTAATAGTGATTGCTTAAAGGCAGTGAGGAAGTAAGAGAGACTCATTTTTCTGTCTTTTCTTTTATAACTCTTAAATTTAGGTACATGGATCACCTGTTAAAAATATTATGTAAGTTTTGCAGACCTAAACCCACTTTTGCACATTGTTTATAGGTTATTTTTATTCCAGTTTATAAATAATTTTATTTCAATGTATAAAGTTTGAGATTAAAGGTAGTTTGTTTTAACACAGTAGTATTAAAACAAGCATTTAATCTGCAGATTCCTGGGCTGTATAAATCCAGTTCTGTGGACAATCTTTCTACAACCAAGATCAAACCTTTAGTACCTGCCAGAGCCAGTGGGCTGAGCAAGAAGCCATCAAGCATCTGTAAGAGAAATCATCACAATGCCGAGAACAAGCCAGGACTGCAGATCAAAATCAATGAACTCTGGAAAAATTTTGTATTTAAAAAGTGAGTCACTGTGTTACTGATTCTAAAATAGGATAAATCATTGTTTTCCTATAATCCCAATTCCTGTCTCCTCTTTTTGTTTTCATATGAATCAGTTTCTTTTTCTCTTACCCTAAGGGTTTTAATTTCCTCTGGTCCCTGTAACTGACTCTTCTGTATCTTCTTTTTAGTGAAAAGATGGCCAACTGAAAACCTCAGTTCTCAGTCTGGCTTTGGGGTCTCTATGTTGTCAAGCAAACTACTTTTCCAGTTTGTCAAGCAAACTTCTATGTGCCTCAGCTTTTTTTCCTTCTAGAAGTTGTTTCATGCTTGAGAACGGAAAGATAATGCTGTATGGTTACTTCTGGACTTAAGGCAGTTTGTTTCCCTAAATTACCACATCTAAAATGGGAAGAATCTATGAGTTTATGAGTTCATATGATGGATTAGCCAGATTTCTACTGTATATGGCAAACACTGTTTTAAGAGTTGACCCTACATGCATCTACAATTTTTGAACCGCATTACTTCCGTTAGGCAACAAAATTGATCACAGAGTAGCATCACTTTATAATTAATTTATCTTCTTGTTCTTATTACAGCAAATGTGCTAAGAATAAAAGCAAAGAGAAAGGGGTGGGGGGAGGTGACTTACATGGGATGATAAGATTAAACTTTACCTAGTAGAAATTGTTATCTCAATCAGATGAGATAATATGAATGGAAATACTTTGTAATAAGTGCTGGACAATTATTTTTTACTTTACATTGTGTAAAGTCTAGATTAAACCATATAGCAGCAGTTCTCAAGCTTTTTGCCTTTAGGAACACTTTATGGTCTAAAAAATTACTGAGAACCCAAAAGTACTTTGGTTTATGTGGATTATATCTGTCAACACTTAACCGTCTTAGGAATTAAAAGAGACATCTAGAAAATATTTATTTATTTTTAAATAACAACAATCTCATTTCATCTTAAAATTGACAGTATATTTTTACAAAACTATGTTTTTCAAAACAAAAGTGAGAATGACATGGTTTTACATTTTTTGCAAATCTTTTCTGTCCAATTTAATAGAACTAAGCTGGATTCTTATATCTGCTTCCTTGTTTAATTTGTTATGCTTTGGTTGAGTTATATGAAGAAAATCTGACCCCATATGTAAATGTACTTTAGCATAATAGCATTTTTTATTTAATTTTAATTTTTCTTCTTTTATATTACACCAAAATTCAGTAAGTAGTAGTTTCTTAAAAGTTGTAATATAGGATATGAAACCATATCAACTGATTTTTATACTCTGTATAACATTACAGTCTACTGGCTCATATTGTATTTTGGTGTGCATCTTTTACTCATTCATAATTTTATAACATTGGTGCAGATCATTTGAAAAATGTGGACTTACTGAGTTGCGCTTATCTTTCAATTGTTGACACATTTCATTATACAATACTTTAAAAAATCACAGTCTTGCCAGCAAAGTCTTTTAACTATTGGGAAGGTGTCAAGGGGCAGATATAAGATTTCCAAAATTCTAATTTTCTCTGGAAAGCTTGAATTTTGCCTCTGGCAACAAATGCTGTTAGGTTTTTTTTTTTCCTTAGAAATAACAAACAATCTCTGTTCATTTTAGAGAAGCCCTTTGCTAAATACTTAAATTTGAATTTCCATGGTGAGACTGACCTTTTTTTTAGTACTATCAGTATTTCTTAAACAGTTTGGTGATTTTGTGTTGATTTGTTGCCAGCAGCTTTACTTATTATTAGCACAAATGTCCTTTTTTGGGTTATCGGTACCAGTGTCAGCACAGTATGAAAAGCAGATAAAGTCTAAATACTATTATGAAAATAATTTTAAATATTACAAACCCCCCAAAAGGGCCTTGGGAATAGGATTAATTTTTATAGACATAGGACTTCCTTCCAAAATTTGGGAGTGGGGAAGGAGTAAAAAGATAGGACTTAAACGCTTCATCATGCTTCACTCATGCTGCTTCTCAGCCAGACTTGAGAAGGGTGCTAGAAAGAACAAAACTAAAGTTTGTTTACTGAAATCATTCTACCTTAGCTAGTATATATTTAGTAGTGGTGTGGTACCTCCTTTGAAAGATGATTTGGAAAGCAGGAATGGGTACTAAGAAGCAAAACTCAAATTTTGCAGGACGTACTCAGAGGAGAATTTGATTGTGTTACATAATGAATTGAGGGAAATTATACAGTAGAGGTTCTTATCCTCTTTATATACCTCTATTTTGTCCAGACAGATTATTCTCTAATAAACACTACCATAAAAACACCAAATTCATTTTATTATATTTTGCAGAGATTCTGAAAAGCTTCCTTCTTGTAAAAAGCCAGATCCCCTGTCTCCAGTCAAAGATAACATCCAGCTAACTCCAGAAGAAGAGGATATATTTAACAATTCTGAATGTATGCGTGTTCAGAGAGCACTATTCCAGTAAACGCAAGCAGCTGGGAGACTGTTGCCTGCAAGAGAATCTCTATCAATTTCAAGTCCTGTTTGGAAATGAGGCCATTCTGAAAGATTTGTTCTTAGATCTATGCTATTTATTTTAAATAGAACACAATTTTTTATAATAATTGTGTAACTGTTCTTGTTTGGCTTTTTATATTTTTGTAAGAAGCTAACTAGAGAAATAACTTTGGAAAATCTACTCTACGACTTCCCCTGTGGTCCAGAGGCTAAGACTCCTTACACCCAATGCAGAGGACCTGGGTTCGACCCCTGATCAAGGAACTGGATCCCACTTGCCACAGCCAAGGGTTCTCATGCTGCAACTAAGACCCAGTGCAGCCAAAATAAATAGTTTTAAAACAAAAAGCTATTCTAAAGATTTCTATAATGTTGTCAAATACAAAGATGGTAAATGGAAAACCACAATTCTAATCACTTTATACTACAAGAAACTACTATACTTTTCCATGCTTTCATTTTTTTTTACCTGCCTTTCCTGTCTTTCAGGGTTGAATTGGAAATACAGTTGCTGGGATGGGACAGGTAGTTGGAAGAGTTAAAGATCATTGCATAAATACGACAGGGCTCTGTTATCCCTGAAGAGTTTGGTAGGTTACAGATTGACAGTGAAGGAAAATTGCCTTCAGCATCATATGAAAGGAATTACTTCTTATATCATTCAGTCTTAAACTTCCAAAATAGCCTATTTCTCTTATATATCTTTTTTGAAGAGTAGGCTAAAAATTCCTTAACTTATCTTAAAACTTATGTTCTAGGTGTGATGTAAGATATTACTACTAAAGCTACAGAATCTATGATTTGTCCATACTCTGCAAAGAAATAGATGGGAACCAAACCAGGTATGCAAGTGAAGATCTGAAGTAAGGAAGTGAAGTGACAATCTGACAGGAAGTAAAACAATTATAGAAGTGTCTGAGATATAGAGGATAAATGAAAGGGATTCAGAGCAGTTTAATTTTTAAATGAGACTTAGTAGAGGACTTGGATAAAGAGTCCAAGTAGAAAAAAACAATGTTTTAAGAAACAGCATAAAAGTTTTAAATGCAGACAATTTTTTTCTCAAAATCTGGAAAAGGCTATACAAAGAACAAAAGCAAAATTGAACTTTCTGTGAATGTTTCCTATTACAGAACAAATTAAGAAAGGAAAGATGGCAACAGTGCTGTAGTTTTTCAGTCTCCGAACCCCCACATAACCGCAACTGGACGACAAAGTCAAAATACCAATGAATGACATTACAACAAATTCAGATGGCATCATATATTTAAATCCCAACATGTGAGTAGGTGAAGAAGACGAGCCACCGACAGCCACAAGACTGCAAGGTGGTACTGACATCTATTTGGGAGAAGCAGAGAATGGCAATAGGGCATCTAATGGACATGAGCACAGAACTTACATAGAATAATTGTTGAAACACAGAGCAGACCAAGTTGCAAACAGCATTTAAAATTGTTATGCCATCCAATGGTAAGTGAGTGCAAGAGGCCTGCACTTATATCTGGAGGACTGAAGCAATGTAGTCCATATGAACTTTTGAAATGATTTACTGTATTTGCCAAGGCTCTCTTCTAGGGGAACAGGGTCCCCCACAGAAGAGAAACTGCTGGCAAGTAAAACAAAAGCTTGGGTGGGAAAGAGACAATAGACACAAAGGAAGAGGAATAGTTGACCAAGAAATCTCAGCAGAATCCTGTCTGTTTTTGAACACTGAAAAAGCAACAACAGCAGCAAAATGGCTGAGGTTTGAGAAGCTCCCATGAGCCATGCCTGCTCAAAGTTTAGGAAAATTATTTTTTACTTAAAAAAAAAACTACAGAAAAATGTTTAGGTCAGTCCTTTACAAAACTGATTTAAAGAGTCGAGCAGTGTAACATCTCTACAAATAATGAAAATCTACCAGAAAGGCCCACTGAGCAGATCAAAACCAGTGTGTTCGAAAATGTGCTAAAAGTTTAGGAAATGCTATGGAATATGAAGGAAAGTTAGAACTGGAAAAACTCAGAGGGAAAAAAAAAAGGCAAGCTCAGGAAAGTGTTAGAAATAAAAATTTCAAAAATTAAAGCTAGAAGGAACACAAGCAAATAATCATTCAGATAGATGATGCCTTAAATAGGTAAAAAAAAAAAACAAAATGGAAAAAACACCTTAAAAGATTAGCAAGTCACAGATATTAAAGATGGAGCAGAAGGTCCAATATACAGACAATAAGAATTTCTGAAGAAAAAACAACCTATAATTTCAGAAAAATTTTAAATTTTAAGATTTGAAACAATATTTTTTAAATGCACTCTTAACACCCAGGATTATTGATCCAAAACAACTAACACCATGACGTAAGTGACAAGTTAAAGAAGGAAAAATCCTCTGGGTCGGCAAGGACAGCAAGTGACATGTAAGAAAAATAATAATCATGAG